AGACAACCTCTCGTCAATATGCGTTTTTCGCATTGCATTGCTGCAAAAAACGCATAAAAATAATTAGCCAACGCATGGACTGCCCGTGCGAAGATGCGTTTTTTGTAAAGTCTCTCGCAGATTTTTTTTGCTAACGACACTGGTTTTTCCGGCAGATGTTTCTAGCTAAAAGAATTTCAGACTGACCGCCAGGACTCTCAGGAAACATCCCTTCAAAATTCTAGTCTTTTAGCTTCTCAGGTTCGCGAGTTAGCAACTTATCCGAAAAAAACTTTGGCAGGCTCTTACATGGGTACCGCGCAGGTGACGGTGCCCGTTTTGGGGTTTAGAGCCCAAACGTGCATGTAGATTAAGTTCCCAAGGTTTCAGCCCTGTAACTTTTGTAGGTCGTGAGATGAAGAACAATGACAGACGCACATACAGACAACCCCTGGTCAGTATGCGTTTTCTATATTTCATAGCTGCAAAAGACGCATAAAAAACCATTTTCTGGGTCGGAAAGGCTCTTAATATTTTTCTTTTTCTTTGCTAAAGATAAGGTTATTGAAATAATATAAGCCGAAAAGCAATCTCTTTTTGTGTTCCAGTTGCTTCAGCAATCTATCCAGGCAAGCGGATTAATTAACCTCATGCAGGTATGGTCGTGCGGTAGCAATGCAAACGGTGAGCTGGGACGTGGTGATCTGAAACAGGGCACACACACCATCTATCCGGTGCATTTGTCCAGTTGTGTGACGATTGTACAGATAGCAGCGGGACGCAATCATAACATGGCTGTTGCGGATGACGGACGATTATTTGCGTGGGGCGATAATAGCCGTGCACAGCTTGCATTGCATCCCGATCTCATTATATGTTCTACTCCAACGTAACATTTCATTCACCGGCTTTTTTTTTTATTTTTGTCTAAGTGTTTTATTTAATTTTATTTTTTTTTTTTAAATTTCTTGCGCTTTAGTGTCTTATGGTTTTATTTCTTTAATTTTATAGCAGTCATTTTACTTACATAGTTCCACTCACACAGTTCAATTTTACATGGTCTGGGCATGTTTATTTTACTTTGATATCGGCTCATC